CCATAGGGGCTGGGAAGGTGGCTCAGTGGTAGAGCGCTTGCCTTGCATGCCTGAGGCCCTGGGTTGGATTCCTCAGCACCGCATAAGCAAAAAGAAAAAAGCCGGAAGTGGCGCTGTGGCTCAAGTGGTAGAGCACTAGCCTTGAGCTGAAGAGATGAGGGACAGTGTCCAGGCCCAGAGTTCAGACCCCACGACTGGACCCAAAAAAAATAAAAAATAAAAATAGGGCTGGGAAGGTGGCTCAGTGGTAGAGCGCTTGCCTTGCATACATGAGGCCCTGGGTTCGATTCCTCAGCACCACATAAGCAAAAAGAAAAAAAAATAAAAATAAAATAAAACCATAGATACAAGTCTCAGTCCCTGTGAGTGGCTTAGTCAAATTAACTGATCTAACACCAGATACTCATACAGGAAAACCATTGCCCTGCCATACCCATGCTGAACACAGGGGTGAGGGAAATTTGGAACAGTAGGAAGATGGGGAATCCCAACCACACAGAGATGAGCTCTGTCTCCAGAGTAGAGAGGAAAGGATATAATAAGTGCTAATGCCTTTTAAAAATGCAAGTTGAGCCAGGCACCAGTGGCTCACGCCTGTAATCCTAGCTACTCAGGAGGCTGAGATCTGAGGATCGAGGTTCAAAGCCAGCCTGGGCAGGAAAGTGTGAACCTCTTATCTCCAACTAACTACCAGAAAACTGGAAGTGGCACTGTAGCTCAAGTGGAAGAGCGCTCGCCTTAAGCTGAAGAGCTGAGGGACAGCACTCAGGCCCAGAGTTCAAGCCCCATGACCGACCCAAAAAAAAAAAAAAAGCAAGTTAAGCAGGGCACCACTAGCTCACATCTATAATTCTAGCTACTCAGGAGGCTGAGATCTGAGAATCACAGTTCAAAGACAGCCCAGGCAGAGAAGTCTACAAGACCCTTATCACCAGTTAACAACCAAAAAGCTGGAAGTGGAGTTGTGGCTCAAGTGATGAGTGCCTGCCTTATGCAAAAAAAGCTAAAGAAAAGTATCCCAGGGCTGGGAAGGTGGCTCAGTGGTAGAGCACTTGCCTTGCATGCATGAGGCTCTGGGTTCGACTCCTCAGCACCACATAAACAAAAAGAAAAAAGCCGGAAGTGGTGCTGTGGCTCAAGTGGTAGAGCGCTAAACTTGAGCTGAAGAGCTGAGGGACAGGGCCCAGGCCAAGAGTTCAGGTCCCATGACCAGACCCCAAAAAAATTTAAAAAATAAAAAAATAAAAGTATCCCAGCTTTGGATTCAAGCACACGCTGTACTAGTACTGGCACACACACACACAAAAAAAAAACTTTGCAAAGATGACAACAGATATTAGTGTACTAATATTTTTATATTCATTAATAAAATAATCTAGAGGAACTTCAAATAACCCACTGACAGGGAAAGAATGCATCACATGTACTTTGCCAGGTTCAAGCATTTAGAATTTCACCTTTGGCTTGAAAAAATATTGCAAAGAGACACTAGTAAAACTCAAGATCCCATGCCAAGAGCCAGTTTGGGCAGCAGTTCAGCACTAGTGTTCAGGGTGGTGCAGCAAGTTGCCCAGTTTTACTTAGGCTGCAAGGTCCAGTAACTTCACAACTACTGTGATCTTTTTCTGCCCAGTGTGGTTATACTGAGAAACCACTGTATTTATCCTTGAAGGAAGAGAGTATTTCTTCCTCTAATGGTTGTGGTTCTGTGCTAATTCCTGACTTGTACAGGCAGTTTGTCTGTATTTAGGAGAGGAACTCCAGGCAGTGCTGAGTACTTATAAGCAGAAAGTCAAAGCTTTTGTACTTTGCTCAAAAAGTTGTTAATGCTGCCAGGTACCAGTGGTTCACACGTGTAACCCTAGCTGCTACTCAGGAGGCTGAGCTCTGAAGTTCACAGGTTGAAACTAGCTTGGGCAGGAAAGTCAATGAGCCCCTTATTTCCAATTAACCACCAAAATGCCTGAAGTGGAGCTGTGGCTCAAGTGGTAGAATGCCGGCTACCACTGAAGGACAGTATCCAGGCAGAGTTCAAGACCCAGGACAATGACAAAAATAAAATGTAAATGTACCTCCTAGTAATGAAGTTCAGTAAAGGACTGGCCATCCCACTGCAGCCACGGAAATGTTCTCATGTTCATTTTAGTCCCAAGCCTCAAGTACTCTTCACCCACAAGCCACAGTGAGATGAATTTCCATTAAATACTGCTGGAGACAATCTGCCCCAACTGTATCATAAACCAAAGCTACTTTCTCAGTTTCTTGTCTATATTTCCTCCCTTAAGGTAGGTTATTACATCAGCACAGAACAATTATTCCAGTAGCAATAGTGAGTGAAAGACAAAGGGCTAGTTACCTAATTATATAATAACCACTGGCTTCATTTCTCAGGCAAGCTGTTAAAATCACTTATCCACAATGTTTATCAATATTTAACGCCATGGGGAAAGTACTTTCTCTGGCTGCATGAAAGGCAGCAAAGTTCTGAATTGGCATGAGTGTTTTAAAATTACATATATAATTACATTGAGGCTCATCCAGGGCTTACGCATGCTAGGCCAGTGCTCTACCATTGAGCAACTCCTTCAGCAATATAATTGTATTTTTTGTCGGCTGTGGGGTTTGAACTCAGGGCTTGGGTGCTGTCCCTGAGCTTCTTTTGCTCAAGGCTACCACTTGAGCTGTAGCTCCACTTCCAGCTTTTTTTGTGTATGTGGTTCTGAAGAATAGAATCTTGGGTTTCATGCATGCTAAGCAAGCACTCTACTATTAAGACACAATTCCAGCCCTGCAATTTTCTGTGTGCACGTGCATGTGTCTCAGGTGTGGGGCCTAGGTGCTGTCCATAAGCTCTTCAGCTAAAGGCTACTGCTCTGCCACTTTGAGTCACAGCACCACTTCCTGTTTTCTGATGGCTAATTGGAGATAAGTCTCACCAACTTTCCTGCCTGGGCTGGCTTTGAACCGAGATTCTCAGTTCTCAGCCTCTTCAGTAGCTAGGATTATAGGCATGAGCCACTGGCGCCTAGGTTGTGATTTTTTTCTTTCATTTTTGGTCGGTTGTGGGGCTTGAACTTTGGGCCTGAGCATCGTCCCTGTGCTCTTTAGCTCCACTCTACCACTTGAGCCACAGTTTTTCTGGTGGTTCAGTGGAGGTAAGAGTCTCACAAACTTTCCTGCCTGGGCTGGCTTTGAACTGCAACCTTCAGATCTCAGCCTCCTGAGTAGTTAGAATTACAGGCTTGAGTCACCAGCACCTGGCCATTTTTTCTTTTTTTGTTGGTTGTGGGGCTTGAACTCTGGGCCTGGGTGCTGTCACTATGATCTTCAGCTCAAGGTGAGCGCTCTACCACATGAGCCACTTCTGGTTTTCTAGTGGTTTATTGGAGATAGGAGTCTCACGGTCTCTCCTGCCCGGGCTGGCTTTGAACCCCGATCCTCGGATCTCAGCCTCCCGAGTAGCTAGGATTACAGGCGTGAGCCACCAGCGCCCGGCTGTTTTTTTAAATATGTTCTCACTGTTACCTAGTCTGCCCTTGCATCAGCCTCCTGAGTAGCTGCAATTATACCCCAGCTAATTGAAAACTTTTGAAGTAGAAAGTTGTGTCTGAAGATTATCACTTTATCTCTACAATTTAGAAGGTTCATCTACATATCACTGACACCTTTCTTGTTGGTGGTTGTTCCTTCTGGATTTTTTTGGAGACTGGATATTGCTGTGTGGCCCACTTTGGCCTGGGACTCCCATTCCCTTGGTTTGGCCTCCAGTGCTGGTCTAACTGGCATCTTCCTTTTTTTTAATTCTTGACTGGGACTCATATTCATTATCCGATGCTTTTGCTTACTGGCTGACTCTCAGCTACTGGAGCTATGCCTCCAACTTTTTTTATTTTTTAATTAGTCCTAGGACTTGAACTTAAGGCTTGGGGTCTGTCTCTAGCTTCTTTTGCTCAAATGTAGTACTGTATCATTTGAGCCACAGTGCCACTTCTGGCCTTTTCTCTTTACATATCACTGAGGAACTGAACCCATGCCTTTTTATACATGTCCCATGAGACAGCATAGCTACTGATGTGTTCCTATTGGAACTAGAGCAGCAGAATGAGAGCTACTGGGTCACTGGCATTCAGTGCTGACAAAGCCAGTTGGCCATTTGTACTTAAGCTTCAAGGTCCATGGCTCTGTTTGCTGCCATTTGGGCCATTTTTCCTTTTTAACTGTTATGAATTACAATGATGCTGCTCTCAGGTGAATGTGCTTGTTTGGACGCTAGGTCTCTTCATCTCCAGGGTATGAACCGAAGGGCTGCAACAGCTCACTCAGGTGAATGTTTGCATTTTTCTAGAACCCAAATTCGTTACTCCATCTGAAGTCCTACCAGGACTGGAGGAAAGTTCCAGCTTCTCCAAACCTTTGTCAGTTGCTAATGACATGTTTTTAACTCTGCCCAATTGCATGGGTGAGAACTAGTTCTATTTTCTTTTCCTGGATGAGTAATGATGTTGTGGTGCTTTCCATGTGCTGATTGGCCAACTGAGTGTCTTCTTTGAGGATTTTGATTCAGTCTTTGCCAATATTTGGGAGGCTGGATTACTTGAGCCTAGGAATTTGAGACCAATCTGAGCAACAACAGAAGAGTCTCAAACTCCCCCCCCCAAATGTCCACGGTATGTAGGAAGGATTTTTCACATTCTTCTACTTGTTTGTGGGGAGTCTAATTGTAGTTTCTGCTTGGGTTGTTTCATTTCTGAGCATTTAGTGAGGTGATTCTGAATGAGAGAAAATCTACTGCAAGGTGCCCAGTGCTTTTCTTCTACTGTGTAGCACAGTGAGTCAGGACAACTGAGAACAAGGAAGGAGAGCTCCTTGTGAGGGCAGTGAGCTCCTGAGACCCTTCCACCACCTTTGCCTCCTGGAGCCCCCAGCTCATGGTTCTGCCCCTTTTTTGTGGGTACCCTGGCAGGGTAAGGAACAGGTGGTGAGAAGCAGAAAAGACAAGGTATGGTTCACCCCAGGGCTAGGCTGAGACCGGCCAGGTGCTTGCTTTATTTGGACAGGAAATGCTAGTGTCGGACTTGGTTTCATCCTTTCTATGTTCTGAAGGCAGCTAGGAGCAGGGCCCAAATTTAGAAAAATACTGTTTAGATGTCATCACCTAGCGGAAGTACTTGGGACACTCGTGGGCAACCAGGTGCCAGGCTCGATCAAAGGCTTCCACGACAGCCGGCTCCAGGGGCCCTTGCTCAGTGGCTGCCAAGTTCTGGTTCAGCTGCTCTGGGCTGGACATGCCCAGGATGACCGCATCCCCGTGGGCAGCCTGCGTGGGGAAACAGCCAGATTTCAACATGTTCTGCTGCTCTGTGGGCTCCAGATACCTGTCTTGCTGGCCTAGCCCTATCAAGATTCTCAATCTGTGCTTTGATAGTCACTCCTATATAAATGTTCACCTTGTCTTCCCCTCACCCCCATCCCCTGATCATCCACAAAGACCTGAGTGAGATCTGTCACCCTCTTTAACCTGAGACCCAATCCTCATTGTGGTCAGAAGACAGAAAAGCTGTGCTGAGCACTTGGAGCCATTTACTGAGCAGCATGCACATGGCAGACACTATGCAGCTATCTGAGGCACAAGTCAGAAGCTCTACTAGGAAGCCACAGGCCCCTGACAGAAAAGAACACCCAAGCTGGGTGCTGGTGGCTCACTCCTATAGTCCTATCCACTCAGAAGGCTGAGATCTGAGGATCACGGTTCAAACCCAGCCCAGGCAGGAAAGTCTATGATACTCTTATTTCCAATTAACCACCAGAAACCTGGTGGTGAGAGGCTCAAAGTGATATAGAGTGCTAGCCTTGAACAAAAAGAGCTCAGGGACAGTTCCCAGGCCCCAAGATAAAGCCTCATGACTGACAAAAAAAAAAAAAAAAAGAACACCCAGCCACTAAAGGAGTGAGTCATGGGTTTTGCAGTTAATCAAGTACAATGTTTAGGACTTCCGCACCCTTAATAGCGGTATGCACTCCAACTTTTTCATCAATAAGGGACAGTTGTAACTTCTAAGTTCTAAGGGAACTAAGTCCCCAGTTTTAAGACTCATTATGCACATGGCACTTGGACACCATCAGGATCAATGGGAACAGAGGCCATGAGAAGTGTAAGAGAAACTTCAGAAGATAAAGTCATCTAACAGTCACCCTGAGCCACACAGAAGGCTACCTGCAGCTGGGAGTGGTGGTACATCCACCGCAGGGCGGCCGAGGTCATGCTGGGGGCACTGGGGCCATAGGCGGCCTGCAGGGCCTTCTCCACCAGGGCGATGGCCTTGAAGTGCTCCTCCTTCCAGAAGCTGAGTGGGGAGAGAGTGGTACAGGGGTCAAGACCTTGGGCATCACACGGAGGGTCAGAACCAAAGGGCTAAGCAGGACAGGTAGCCCCACCCCAAGTTCTTCTGCAGCACCGCTGGGTAATGTCCTCTCTAGCAAAGGATTGCCTCCTCTATAGGGCCAGACTACGCAGGCTGCCGGCCCCTCAGAAGCAGCAGTGATGCAGTGGTACAGACCACTCTGGCTCACCGGTTCCTGTAGGTCTCGGCCCAGCTATTCCCGAAGAAGCGGCCCTCAGGCTTCTTGCTGTCCTTGTCTTCATACTTATACTTGCCTGTCAGAAGACCACCTGAGGGAAGGCTGCAATCAGAACCCTTGCCCAGATGCTTCCCATAAGATGCTGGATCCTCCACAGCTGTGGGCTGGGGGAAGGGGATTTCCAGGAGGTAGAGGGGGCTCAGCCCAGCCTCTTTATTTATTTATTTATTTATTTTTGGGTCCAGTCGTGGGGCCTGAACTCTGGGCCTGGGCGCTATCCCTCAGCTCTTCAGCTCAAGGCTAGCGCTCTACCACTTGAGCCACAGCGCCACTTCCAGCTTTTTTTTCATTTTGCTTATGTGGTGCTGGGGAATCGAACCCAGGGCCTCATGCATGCAAGGCAAGCACTCTACCACTAAGCCACCTTCCCAGCCCCTCAGCCCAGCCTCTTAGCAAAGCTTGCTTCCCAGGATTTGGCATCCACCAGGCCAGGATTGCTTCCTCCTCCCACCCCCTACAGGTGCTGTGTCCATGCAGCCCATACCAGCCAAAGGGTTGTAGGCATAGAACCTCAGTCCGAAGTGTCTGAGGCAGGGGAAGAGCTCTGTTTCCACCTGTCGAGTGGTGGCGTTGTACATTCCCTGCAAGGAGAAGGACAGGGAGATAGAATGGACATGTGATGGGAGCAGAACTACTCAGTCTTTTTCTTTCTTAAACAAAATAGAACAAAACCCAAATACTTTACTTTAGAGGCTTTTTGGAGGCAAAAACTACCTTCCAATTCCTGGGCTTAAATGATCCTTCTGCCTCAATCCCCCAAGTGGTTGAAACTACAGGACCTTACCATTATACCTGACAGTATGTTTTTTTATGTGTGTGCTCGTTCTGGGTCTTGAACTCAGGGCTTTGTTTTCTTGTTGGGCTTTTTCACTCACTATGGCACTCTGCCATACCTCTAGTTCAGCTTGTTTTTGCTGGCCAATTGGAGATGAGTCTCATGGACTTTTCTGTGGCTAGTCTGGGAAAAAAGTTCATGATAACTCATCTCAATATAAAAAGGCTGAGCGTGGTGATATACACCTGTAATCCTTGTCATTTCAATTATAGCTGGAAGCATAAAAAGGTAGACTGCGATCCAGGACCACCAAAGACAAAAACAAGATCCTAGCCGGGCGCAAGTGGCTCACGTCTGTAATTCTAGCTACTCAAGAGGCTGAGATCTGAGGATCACGGTTCAAAGCCAGCCCGGGCAGGAAAGTCGTGAGACTCATCTCCAATAAACGACTAGAAAACTGGAAGTGGAGCTGTGGCTCAAGCGGTAGAGTGCTCGCCTTACGCTGAAGAGCACAGGGACAGCTTCCAAGCCCAGAGTCCAATCCCCATGACCAACCAAAAAAACCAAGACAACAACAACAACAAAAAAACCCAAAAAACAAGATCCTACCTCAAAAATAATCAGAGCAAAAAGGGCTGGGAACATAGCTCAAGTGGTAAAGCACCTGTCCAGTAAGTGCAAAGTCCTGAGTTCAAACTCTAATACTGCCATAAATAAACAAGTACTCTGAATCTATACTAGCCCAGGACTCCAGCAGTTACTTCTAAAATCACTAGTGGGCCTGGCATTGGTGGCTCATGCCTGTAATCCTAGCTACTCAGGAGGCTGAGATCTGAGGATCCTGGTTCAAAGCCAGCCCAGGCAGGAAAATCCATGAGACTCTTATCTCCACGTAACCACTAGAAAACTGTAAATGTCACTGTGGCTCAAGTGGTAGAGCTCTTTCCTTGAGCTGAAGAGCTGAAGGACAGAGCCCAGGCCTAGAGTTTTAAGCCTCAAGTCTGACCAAAAAAAAGAGAGAGAGAGAAAAAATAAAGTAAAATCACTAGTAGTGGTACAGAGTGTGGGGAAGTATCTAGGAAGGGAAACTGGCCTGGATTCCTCATTCTACAAATTGTGTGTAGACTCCAGCTACAGGCCAGACACTGCATTTACAACCACTGGCAAGTCTAGAATAAAGTCTCCACCTCCAAAAGATGTTATAGTCAATTTAAAAATACAGGCTGAGCCGGGCGCCTGTGGCTCATGCTTGTAATCCTAGGTACTCAGGAGGCTGAGATCTTCAGATCAAAGTTCAAAGCCAGCCCGGGCAGGAAAGTCCGTGAGACTCTTATCTCCAATAAACCACTAGAAAACCAGAAGTGGAGCTGTGGCTCAAGCGGTAGAGCACTCGCCTTGAGCTGAAGAGCGCAGGGACAGCGCCCAGGCCCAGAGTTCAAGCCCCACAACAGACCAAAAAAAAAAAAAAAAGGAAAGAAAAAAGAAAAAAAGACAATGACATTTGGAGAGCGGAAGCTCCTGGGGTTGGGCTTTCCTGGGAAGAGATGTCTGAGGGAGCCCTGAGCACTTCCCCCAGAGGAGAGTTGCAGGCTGAGGTGCAGAGCCAGGCTTGGAAGTAAGGAACCAAGCTGTGCACTCAGGCAGAAAGTGGGCAGCTGCCTGCTGGCCAGGCTAAGGAACT